TCTGACATTATGTGGGCATTTCCACGGTTTTGCAGTTAAGCTAGGGCATACCTCCATGTCTCATTCACCCAGAGGAACAGGTCCAAACTCCACTAACCTACACAGCTAATCTGCCTCACATCTAAAGTCTACCTCACTGAAATCCCATGATGGAACTTGCCATCTCAGTCTTATGCGCCTCTTGTCCCTGTCAGCTACTGTAGTTTGACCTAGACATGTCAACAGACCACAGACAGTACCACAGACAGTAGGAGAAGGCTGCTCTCAGACACTAAAAACAGACGTTGGTGGCTTTGACCTCTCCAGTCCAGTCAGGATTTCACACGCCCCTGAGAGATGACAGAGATTGCAAACGGGTGTATGTGAACGCCACACCACCCGGGCAATCTGGTCCTGCGGCTGTGCCCACCTCCAAAAGGGGCATCGCCTGTGCCCGTGCCCTCGCCTCACCCCTTTGACTGCCTCCCAGGTGGGGGTCTGCTCCTCCTTCCTCCACACCCCATCTGACAAAACACAGGGCGATAGCTACAAATATCCTGTGTGTTTGTGAGGTTCAGAATTTATACCAGAGCTCTCATCACAACCTGTAGGCTGGTAAAGGCCACAAATTGGCAAGGAGGGTATACTATGGCTGGGTCCCATTACTGTAAAACACCTTCCTTTTATTGTGTACTTTACTTCAGTGATCACTGGACTATAAATCAATTATTTTTAGTCTAAATATTGGACTGTAAATTGTGCCTTCCTGTATTATACTTATGCTAAAATGTATTCTATTCTACTGAGCCATTTACTTTATGTTCGTATTCTTATCTTTTATTATTTCTTATTGTTGCATTGTGGAGAAGGAACCTGCAAGTAAGCATTTCATTGGACGGTGTATACCATGTGTATCCCATACATACGACTAATACAAGCTGAAACAAAGAGATGAGGGGTCTATGGGAGGTTAGTACAGAGGCAGTGTACTATGGCTGCGTCCAAATAATTCTAAACAGCTTTCTGTTCTAATCTACTTCCCTTCAGTGACCACTAAGAGATGAGGGCTTGGGTCTCTGGAAGCGGAACGTAGGAGTACTTTTGTTTGGGTCCAAATACTGTTAAAACTGTTCTTTCCTCGTTTACTTTTCTTAGGTGACCACTAAGAGATGAACGAGCTAGATAAGTCAGGAGTCGTAAAGAGGAAATAAAATGAGGTAAGGAAGATTTGGTGGAAACAGTTTAGTAAGCAGCTTGTGTTCCAGCCATGACAGCAGTCAGAGGAAATTAGTGGGTCCAAAACAACATGTAGTCGTCATTCACGTCACTCATATGAGTCATCTCGGAGATTTGCTGATCTTGTGGGGTGCGGATTGTGGTGGTGCTTACAGAATCTTATGCTTGTGAGACCACAGACATATCATTGGCACAGGAAATACTAAATCACCAAAAGAACAAATCATAAACAGAAGTGCAGTTTTAAAGAGACAATGCAGTTCCAAGTTAAATGTTAAACTGAACATCATGATCATGTAAACGTAGATCAACTAAGAAACTGCGAGTTCAGTAACACCTCAACACTTGTCTACAAAACCTTTCTTTATCAAACCAACCAACTCATCCTACGATGCTACAGGTGTGTAACTATCATTCTAGCGTTAGACAACGCCATCCTAGCGCTACATTCTCCCACATGACATTGATGTCAAAAGCTCAGCCCGGTCACAAAAACCTACAGTACATTGTCCCAGGGCATGCCAAGAAACAGTGTTGTACAGGTCATTGTTTCGAGAAAGACTTTATCAAACCAACCAGCTCATCCTAAAAATGCTTAGGTGTGTAACTATCATTCTAGCGTTAGACTCTCCGACATGACATTGATGTCTAAAGCTCACTGCTGTCATTGTTCCACCTCACTGCCTACTGACAGTTGTGTACAGGTCATTGTTTGGAGGAAAAAGTGCCATGTTTCTCGTGGCATGCTGTGGCTTTAACCCTTGCCCTGACCCCTAGGGCTTTAGTGCTGCGTTCCCAAGGCCCTCACAATCCCCAGCTTTGTGGAATCCCCTCTTTTCCCATGCCTCTCCTTAGGCTTATCACATAGGTGTGAGTAGGAGACAGAAACGAAAGGAGAAAGAGAGTAGTAAACGGAGAGAGGAAGCGGTAAACAGAGAGAGAACTAGAAAGAAAAATAGAGAAAGAAATGGAGGGATTATAGAGCTAGAGGGAGAAATGGAGGGATATAGAGCTAGAGAGAGAAATATAGAGCTAGAGAGAAATGGAGGGAGAGAGAAAGATTGAAAGACACAAACAAGGGGAAATAGAACGAGAAAAAAAACGAGAAGGTGAACTTCCAGCGAATCTGCTGATTCTGTGTCTTGAGCTGCAGTAAACCACACGCACAAACAAAGATGGTTCAAAGGGGTTCTTGTTTTAAAAAAAACGACTCTTACACAGTTAGTAAAAGAGACATTAAATTCCAAGTATTGGTGTCATTTTCAACCATTTCATCAGTGCAAGTAATTTAAATGTCAACGGTGAGTTTAACTTTGGGGTAAGCTCCGCTCATATTTAACTATTTCTAAACATGAGGCATTATGAAAGCAAGTGAGTCACCGTGTTGGTCAAAGACTAGCTTTGTCTCCAAACGTCCCTTTGCTCAAACAACTGCATCATTTAGAGTGCAAGGGCTCTCGCAACCAGGCCTCTAGGTCAATAGTGGGGGGAAATGATACGTACACACCTTGAGCTCAGCTAAATATGACCATATTTCCCCAATACTCTGATTATTTGTCCACAGAAATAATGTATTCGATTTGAATAAAATTTGAACGTCACTGAAATTGCACATAATAGACTACTTGATGTGTTTGTTGGAGCAAAAGAAAAAGCAGAGAGCATATTTTCTGCCTTCAACTTCCGAACAACTGACTTCATCAACAACCCCTGCATTTCTGGTGGCAAATCTTGAGTGTTTTTCACAAGCACACCCGCTGTCATTTCTAATCCACATCTCTACAAAAGACTAAACAACCAAACCACTGTTCTCCCATTGCCCCTTCAATCAATCCACTCCCTTGTCCTCTTACAGTGAGGTCTAAATAAGGCAATGTCTAAACATTATAAATTCTCATAACATTGTAATAAATACACTTATAATTGTGTGGACTTTTTTTTGATGCATTCACACTTGGGATATTCAACATGTGAAGACCAAATAGATGTATGTATTATATTTTACACTCCTTCCCATGACTAATACAAGGACAACCAGGAGACACCCCGTCCGGCAGGAAACTTACCTGAGTGGAGGGTGGCTACCCAGAGGCAGAGGAGGGCCAGGAGGACAAGTCTGGAGACGCTGCTGCAGTTGGCCATGATGTTTCCTGTGTTTGTGAGGAGGATGACTGGATTGGGAGTCTCCAGAGCTCCTGAAGCATGGGCTAGTGAGGGCTGGAGCGAAGGAAAAGGGGGAAGAGAGGTGAAAGAGGGAGAGGAGGGACTGTGTATGGAGACAGAAGTGTCTGGACAGTGAAGACTTTGTCAACACCTCTTATGAGGGTCCACCCACTTCATACTCCTCAGACAAACAAGGAATTGCCCGTAGGTGCTGATTAAGGTTAGATCAACAGTTTTCACCTGAACAGTTATGGTTAGGAATGGGGCAGGGTACGCTGATCCTAGATCTGCCTATGGGAAACTTATACTTGGAGTGGAAGACTGGCCATCCCAAAACCTTCCCAGGCCTCTCAGTCCATCATCCCATGATTTCCAGTTGGTAGACATCACCGATACAGACTCGGGTATTTTTTAACAAAAGTTTGCATTGGGGGTAGTATTTTATGTGGTACTGGTAAGAGGTTATGTGGGTCAGCTTGCCACTTGGAGATAGCTGTAGGTTGTGAGAAGCTTTGAGCTTCGCTTCAGAGGCGGGTTATAGAGTAGTATTGGAACTCAGTGACTGGGATGAGATAAATACACAACTCTTGCATACAACTTTAGACTCTCTTACACAGGATAAAAACTAAGTAAAAAGTGTCTATAGTGCATCAGCATTATAGTGGGTTGGGAGTACAAACATTGTGCAGGCAAGAAGGCAAAACGATACACTTTCACTTTCTTTTGAAGTCATTCATTCATACAAAGACAGGCGTGAACAGCCCACACAAGAGACTGTTTTATTTCATACTGCAATAAAAAAGTATGACTTCAGTAGTTCATCATTTCCATATATTATAATACAGATGCAGAATTGAAAGTTTATTCTTTAAAACAGCCTAGTATTTTACAAGAAATGGATAACTACTTGGAACTTTCGAACATGTCCTTAAAACAGGACATCAGTGGGCACACATCCTTAGCTCCTACAATGCAATCATCATCCACAAACAACTTGAAGAAAACAGGGAGGGAGGGAGGAGAGAAAATTAAACAAAATGGAGGGGGGAGGAAAAACTTTCAATAAATAAAACACAAAATAAAGGTTATAAATGCTATTTTTTTTCCTGAAAATCCCCCCGCATTCCCGCCCTTAAGTCCATGCGTAAAAAAATTCCATGGGGAGATGATTGCATCAGGAAATGGTCTCTCTTTTGGGTACTTTCAGACACCAGAGACTAGGAGGGAACTGAACAGCTGACCATAGACAGGGAGAGACATCCATATCCTCCTCATCCCCTTAGCTCTGCTCTCTTCTCCGGGAGAAGTCAGAATTAAATTGATTGATTTTTTTGGTCAATGTTTCATTGCTTGCATGTTCCGTTTGATTGTCTGGCTGCTTCGTTAACCTTCTCCCGCTCTCCCATAGGGCAAAATACTCATTAGGGATGTTTTTTGGGGGGTCCTTTGGCACTGGAAAGCATCCCCAGCTTCCAATGACAAACATTAAATTAACTTCAACAGAACAGAAAGAGGATGCAGTTTCAAAAAATAAAAGTAAAAGGGACGGGGAGAGGGGGCGGGTAAAATGACAGCTGTTCAAAACGGATATAGTCAGTGGGATTGGCAGCAAAGCAGTCCCTTTAAAAGTCCTCCACCGTCTCTATCTCGCCCATGTTAAACCTCTCAGATGCCGCATTCACAGAAAAACCTGGGGAGTGGTGAGAACAGGAAGAGTTCAGTTAGATTCAATGTCAAATAGGTATTTTTATTTTATTCTTTAAATACAGCATCAGTTGATAAGAAATGCTCTGAGTTGCCAGGTAAGGCTGTATCAATTACAAGTGGTGATATAGGAATAAAGGTGATAAAATAACAAATGATTGTCATACTCTTAATGCATAATTGTATTTGTCCTCACCTAGCAGGCTGGGGTCTGCCCGGACCATCTTCTGCTTTTTCTTCTTCTTCCCTGAGGTGACTGTCTCGAAACGTGACTGCTGCTGGAGGCTGGTGTGGTTCGACTGGTACAGAGACTGAGAGCCCGTCCCGCTCCACACTGAATCCTGGGAAATGGAGTCACACTGGGAAATGAGGGGTCAGATAACGACTAACATTGGTAGCATGGTATTGATTTCTCACATATTACGGTCCAGCTGCCTTTATCTCAGTTCTCTATAGGTCTCTCTAACTGGGGGACCAAGGTAACATTTTGAAAGCCCTAAAACAGTTGGCAGTGACCAACCTTGTTATGGGAGAACTTATGATCCAGCCTAGAACCAACACACCTGACTCAACATTTAAACTGCTCATGAAGACCCAGGGATGTGATCAGGACAACATGGAAAAGCAGAAACATCTGTAAAATTCTAGTACCATCTGACCGTGACTAGCTAGTAGTGTTGCACAGTATACCAGTACCAAAACGTCATGATACCAACATTTTAGAATACTGTATTACCGTTTCATATGATACTACCACATTTTTCGACCATACCGATCTCAAGAACCCACGGGCGGCTGATATAAAATGTTTATGAAGTCAGTTTTGTTGATAAATTCTGTAAAACAATACGTAAACAGAAATACTAGTCTCTTGTATGCGCCGGTCCAATAATGTCCACTTCACTTTCATGTGCATATCACGTGTGGTAGCTGTAATCCGCCAGCCGCATCCCCTTCCAGCCCTCACTCACCTGCTTTTCTCCGTCCGCATCTATTCCTCCATCAGATTTTTAAATATAATTTAGCCATGATGGCGAGGGGGGATGGAGACCCTGATCAGTCTTCTGTTGTTACATTTGTACATTTGATACATTGGAGCAGCACGAACAAAGTTGATACATTGTATATCATTTCATACCTGGCATAACCAAGAGCACAGGCCAGTCTGATAGGCTTTGCAAGTTTGCTGTCACGCAGCAGTGCCAGAGAAGAAAAACAGCTTTGCAACTTTGAAACAAAAACAACAGTTTGTCTCTAGCGGTTCAAAAAATATGACTTATTACCAGAGCTACCTTTTTTTCTACCTGTGCAATAGCGCATATTTTTTATAATTTCACAAACCATGCGCGGGCCGTTTTAAACTAATCCCGGTTCTCTAATTATAGGTCTGATATCAAACAATGTTATTCAGTCATGTTACCTAGCCAGCTAACAACCTGGTAACTTGACATTAGGTCTAAGCAAATTTGATTGGCACAGGAAGAAAGGAAAAGGGTTTGCTACTCATGAGATGTGCTTCAGAAGGTAGGATTCATGTAGGCCTAAAGGAAGATTAAACTATAATAATAACAATAATAATAATAATAATAATAATAATAATAATAATAATAATAATAAGCCATTTAGCAGACGCTTTTATCCAAAGCGACTTAGTCATGCGTGCATACATTTGTGTATGGGTGGTCCCGGGGATCGAACCCACTACCTTGGCGTTACAAGCGCCGTGCTCTACCAGCTGAGCTACAGAGGACCACAACTATCAAACTATCATTCTCTTGCTGGTGCTCCTTAAATTCTGTTTGGTGCCTAACGTTTTTAAAGTTGGGAGCAGTGTGTATGTGTTTGTGGGAGAGAGAGTGGTGTGTGTGTTTATGAGGGAGACAGAGAGTGTGAGAGAGTGTGTGTGTTAACTACAGAGTAAAGGTTTCATGCAGTGTTTTCTCCTTACTGCCACAATAACATTCAGATCATTATGAACAAAAATATAAAACGCAACACGTAAAGTGTTGGTTCCATGTTTCATGAGCTGAAATAAAAGATCCCAGAAATTTTCCATACGCACAAAAAGCTTATCTCGCTCAAATTTGGTGCACAAAATTGTTTACATCCCTGTTATTGAGCATTTCTCCTTTGCCAAGATAATCCAGCCACCTGACAGGTGTGGCATATCAAGAAGCTAATTAAACAGCATGCTCATTACACAGGTGCACCTTGTGCTGGGAACAATGAAAGGCCACTCTAAAATGTGCAGTTTTGTCACACAACACAATGCCACAGATGTCTCAAGTTGAGGGAGCGTGAAATTGGCATGCTGACTGCAGGAATGACCACCAGAGTTGTTGGCAGATAATTTAATGTTCATTTCTCTACCATAAGCCGCCTCCAACGTCATTTTAGAGAATTTGGCAGTACGTACAACCGGCCTCACAACCATAGACCACGAGTAATCACGCCAGCCCAGGACCTCCACATCCGGCTTCTTCACCTGCGGGATCGTCTGAGACCAGCCACCCGGACAGCTGATGAAACTGAGGAGTATTTCTGTCCGTAATATAGCCCTTTTGTGGGGAAAAACTCATTCTGATTGGCTGGGCCTGGCTCCCCAATTGACTGATTTCCTTAAATGAACTGTAAAATAATTGAAATTGTTGCATGTTGCATTTATATTTTTGTTCAGTATACATTCCTTCCTCCCATTCCTCCAGCCAAATCACAGGTAGGCCTTTGCAAATATGAGCAAATTAGCCATTCTATGCAGTATTCTATTATACAGTGAACAGTGTGAAGTAAAATGTAATATGTGTTGTATTGAGTAAAAGTGTGAATATCAGTGACAGGTTTTTTGTGTAGCACATGTGCATAACATTTAGAAAACATGAACAAGTGTCAGGGGACGGGGCGAAAAGGACGCCAGGCCAATCTGAAATGTTCCCCCCGAGGTATTGCGTTACTTGGCCTTCTATCGTATCATTAATCAAATGTTACCATCGTGACAACACTACTAGCTAGTTCAACTATTGGTGGTGGATGAGGTGAGCTTCCCCCTACTATTTAAAGTGCTTTGGGTGTCTGGAAAAGCGCTATATAAGACCAATCAATTATTATACAACTATAGACAACAACATAACTCCAAACCAGGGGAGTATTCATTAGTGCACATCGTAGCAAAAGGTTTTGCAACGGAAAACAGTTTGCAACAAACAAGTTTCTTTTGGACAAAATCAGGAAGTTCCTTCACCCTTTTTGTCTCGTTTGGTTACTAATAAATAGCTACACCCCAGTTCTCCAATGACCTGTCGTGCCATGTTTCTCTCACCTGCTGTTGCGGTCGTTGCTTGAGAGTCGGCTGCTGGTTCTGTGGGACCTGGGGCTCTTTCTGTTGGTTGACCTTCTGCTTGGCACGGCGTTCCAGGAAGTGCTTGGCAAACTCCTTGGCCTCAGACGTGTCCCCCAAGTAGGCGCGCACGTAGTCGTGCACCTCGTACGGACTGTCCACCTCCTTCAGGAAAGACGCAAATGTCGGGACTAGAGGAAGAGGGCCGGGTGAGTTTTAAAGATGGGATCACAGTCAAGGTTACTTTAGGTTCAAGGTATCTTTAGGGTGCGTCTGAATTGGCACCCTTTCCCTATATGGTGCACTATTTTTGACCAGGGCCCCTAAGGAATAGGGGGTACCATTAAGGACGCACCTAGGTTGTTGGCGGTGTGTGTATGTTATATACTCACCATCCAGGTTGTTGGCGGTGTTGAGGGTGTGCAGGGTCTGCTCACACCACTGCATGAAGCCATCCTGCTGGCTCTTATTAACCCCCTGGAACAACTTCAGCAGCTTCTCCTCCTCCTCCACCTTCTTATTGGCCCTACTGCTGCTCACAGTTACCACACATACACACAATTAGATACAGTGACTCCAAAACTTTAAAGAATTCCTTTTAAACCATCATCCTATTATCAGTGATCCACCATATTCAGGGATGCAAACTGGTAAGGGCCCAAAAAGGTGAAACGTGTAGAAAGTCCATATGAAGTGCAAGAATATTTGCTTATTTTCAGAGAATAACAAGTACATAATACACATATTTCAAAATAGTGTCCTGTGGTAGGGGGGGGGGGGAGTAGGGCTCCTTGGTCTGGATTTAAGGTTTATCATGACATGCATAATAATCTTAGTCTCTCCAGACAGGAATACATCAGTCTTCAATGCACCTGCATCTGACAAGTTGTTCTATAGAGGTGCATAAAGACAAGTAAAACACAAATCCGGTCTCACATCTCTAATACACTATATATATATATATATATATATATATATATATATATATATATATATATATATATATATATATATATATATATATATATATATATATATATATATATATATATATACATATATATATACACACACACAAAAGTATGTGGACACTCCTTCAAATGAGTGGATAGGGCTATTTCAAATCAAATCAAATTTTATTGGTCACATGCGCCGAATACAACAGGTGCAGACATTACAGTGAAATGCTTACAGTGAAATGCTTACTTACAGCCCTTAACCAACAGTGCATTTATTCAGCCACACCCGTTGCTGATAGGTGTATAAAATCGAGCACACAGCCATGCAATCTCCATAGACAAACATTGCCAGTAGAATGGCCTTACTGAAGAGCTCAGTGACTTTCAACGTGGCACCGTCAAAGGATGCCACCTTTCCAAAAAGTCAGTTTGTCAAATTTCTGCCCTGCTAGAGCTGCCCCGGTCAACTCTAAGTGTTGTTATTGTGAAGTGGAAACATCTAGAAGCAACAATGGCTCAGCCGCGAAGTGGTAGGCCACACAAGCTCACAGAACGGGACTGCTGAGTGCTGAAGGACGTAAAAATCATCTGTCCTCGAGTTCCAAACCGCCTCTGGAAGCAACGTCAGAACAGGAACTGTTCATTGGAGCTTCATGAAATGGGTTTCCATGGCCGAGCAGCCGCACACAAGCCTAAGATCACAATGCGCAATGCCAAGCGTTGGCTGGAGTGGTGTAAACCTCGCCGCCATTGGACTCTGGAGTAGTGGAAACGCGTTCTCTGGAGAGATGAATCACGCTTTACCATCTGGTAGTCCGACGGACAAATCTGGGTTTAGCGGATGCCAGGAGAACACTACCTGCCCGAATGCATAATGCCAACTGTAAAGTTTGGTGGAGGAGGAATAATGGTCTGGGGCTGTTTTTCATGGTTTGGTTTGGGCTAGGCCCCTTAGTTCCAGTGAAGGGAAATCTTAATGCTACAGAATACAATGACATTCTAGATGATTCTGTGTTTCCAACTTTGTGGCAACAGTTTGGGGAAGGCCCTTTCCTATTTCAGCATTACAATGCCCCTGTGCACAAAGTGAGGTCCATACAGAAATGGTTATTCGAGATTGGTGTGGAAGAACTTGACTGGCCTGCACAGAGCCCTGACCTCAACCCCATCGAAACACCTTTGGGATGAATTGGAAAGCTGACTGTGAGCAAGGCCTCACGTGTTCGTGAGAGTCTCACCTTTCCACAGAGGGGTCATATTAGTGTGTAGCCCAAACTGTTCGGACACTACAGACAGAAGTTGGGAGATTGGCTGGCTGTACTGACGCTTGTGGGGGTCGTAGAACAAAAAAACGGAGAACACCATCGTGTTCATGAGAGTTATCTTTCCATAGGGGAGTCATAATAGTTTGTAGGCCAAACCGTTTGGATGCTACAGATAATTTTGTGAGAAGACCGATTTTCGGTATGTCTCATGGTCTGACAAACACCGCTCTAGCTTTGTCACCTTTCACCGCAGATGCGACATGAATTGAGATGCATCCAATGCAAAAAATATCTGATATCTCTAGCTTAAACTGACAGGTTTTTATATTATGCCAATTAGATTTCCGCGGGGGCACGGACATCGACTCTAGGGGGGTAAAAAAGGAACAGAAGGGGACGATATACACCGGTTCAGAACTTCCTTTTGCTGGTCGGAAAGTGGAACAGAATAATCGTTTTTTTGGTTCCAACCATGTGGATGGAAACGTGGTTAGTGAAACTGAAACAGCAAACATGATTTACAACATGATAGCAATATTTGTTGCACTACCAAGAAATGTTTTGGTGAATTATGTTAATCATGTATTGAACTGCATCCATCTATTCTGCCAACAATGCCTTACTCCAAATCATGGAATGTTGAGTCAAATATAACTTCTTTTTTAAACTTCTCATAAAGTTGGATTTGTAGCATCAACTAGGAATTTGATATTGTTGACTGATATGATCGTCAGTTTGTTTCATATCTGCAAAGTAGTTAAAACGCTGTCAGTTTCACTTTAAAATACAATAACTCATGTAAATAAACACTATTATACAGGTCTCTATGCTACATTTTTACAAGGAGTACATGAGCACAATTAAAGTGTTTTAACGTTTAGAAATGACTAAGAGTTCATGAATAAAAGGTTTTTGGAGTGTTCCATGCTCAATCAGGCATAGTATACCATCAAATATGAGTCACTTATGTGAGATACATTTTCAGCTGCCCCTTTAAGGGCGGGAGGTGCTGTGGTAACGGTGGAGAATCGCTTGGCTAGCTCTTGCATCAAACACAAACTGATATTGAAAAATAACCTAGGGTGTGAACAAAAACGATGTAAATAGCCACAAAGTCACACTTTAGTCAAATTCTGTTAAATACGACCAACTTCTAGCATGTGCAGGGAGGCAATCTGTGCTCAGTCAATGATTTTGATATGAGGAAACAGACCCCCTCCCCAAAAAAAGTTTTCAACTTATTTAAAAAGAAAAAGTAAATCATACAAGGGTGCCAAAAATTTGGTTGCATCTGTAAGTCGAATTTTCACTTAGTCTCCCATTGTTATTGACATCAATGTATGACTAACAAAACATTGGACTGAGTGGAAGATTCTCCCCTAACTCAAATGTAAATAACAGCCATGTGGTAGAGAATTGTCCTGACCACAACCTTTCCAGTCTAGCAGCCAAAATAGACAAGCAGGTGCAAGCTGTAAAACTGTCCTGAGGTTGTACCTGAGGTTGGCGTTTGCCTTGTTGTTCTTCTGAGCGCTGGGCTTCCTGGCGGGGGGTGGGGCCTGTGGCGGGGGCTGGGCCGCCTCGTCCCAGAAGCCCATGTTGGAGTTGGTGCTGTCGCCCCAGATGCTGCTACTTTCCCCGCCCCAGTTAGGAGCCCCGCCGCCCACGCTGCTGGTGGCCACCGAGCCCCACACTGAGGAACTCAGAGCAGTGGCCTGGGGGAAGAGGGAGATAGATCCAACCTTGTCAGACCAGTTATGTATAGAGCCATGTCATCGTGGAATGCTCTGCTACTAGAGGTTACTCAGGCAAAAAGCATGTTTAGCTTTAAAAAACATTGTATCACAGAGCCTATCTAAAGATCTAATTTAACTGTACTGTATATAAGAATATGTATATATGAATAGTTTGTAAATAGTATTGTCGTTGTCTTTCCTATATATAGCTTATTTTAATTTTATAATTTATTTTATTTTGAATGTAAATGTAATAGCTTATGTTGTTCTTGTCTATTACTGTGTTTGTCATGTATTTATATGTTTTATGTGGACCCCAGGAAGAGTAGCTGCTGCATGTGCAGTAGCTAATGAGGATCCAAATAAACTAAACTGTCATTATGTCAAAGAATGAAGGGAAGAATTATTCCAACAGTCGTCTTTCATTTAGAGCACTGTTTGCCCAACCTCTTCTCCTGGGGCCACCAGACGTTCAATGTATTTGATTTATTCCAGACCTAGAACACCTGAATCAGCTTGTCAACTAATCATCAAGCCCTTCATTAGACGAATCAGGTATGCTAGTTCAGGACTACCAAAAATCTTTGAAACATCTGGGGGTCCTCAAAGAAAGGTTTGAGAAACACCGTTTTAGACAACACTATCAGCACAGTCAAATACATGATATGGACGACCAAACCAGAATGAATGCAGACGATTTAAAAAATGAATGAACGAACCAACGAGTGACTCACAGCTCTGTTCTGGGCGCGGTTCTGCTGGGTGACGGTGGGGTGACTGGGCTGCTGGCCCCCACCCCCCTGCTCCTTCCTCTGCTTCACCTGCTGGGCCTCCTCCCTCTGGATCTCCAGCAGGGACTTGGTGGTGGCCGGCTGCTTGGCCACGCTGCCCCAACCAGAGAGCTTGGCCTGGGGCTGCAGGGACTCCTGCAGGGCCTGCTGCTGCTGGAGCTTCAGGTGCTCTGCTAGCTGGCGCCGCTGCTGCATGGGGGGGGGGGGGGGGTGAGATATACTGAGTTCCTTATAAAGGTTGAGAAGGATTTTTAACAGTTTAGAGCCTTTTTAAACAATAGTTGATATATGGTGAAATGTTATTATGGTATCCAAAATGCTGTTGTGCATTGTCCAGATTTGTAGCCTCTGTATCCCTCTACGAATTCAGCCCCTATGTTCACACCTCCTCTCGTGCTTGTCGTTCCCTCTCCTCCTCCACTTTCTGGATCTCAGCGAGCGACAGGGCGTTCTGGGACTGGGAGATGGCTGCTGCCGTGACTGCTGACTGCTGGCCCCACTTAGAGGACGACGGCAGCTACGGGACAGGGGAAAGGAGCGAGGGTAGTCAGGTAACCAGTACATTTCCATGCTAAATTACAGGCACCTTAAAATACAGTATTCAGTGATGTTCTGACTTCAATGTTACTTTGGTAGTTATATATGGTGTGTAGTTTATAAAGGTAGTCATACCTTCATCTGGGCTAGTGTAGTGGTAGATGTGTGTGCATACTAAGTATGTTACCCTTATCTGGGCTTGCTGTTGCTGTAGTGTAGTGTTAGGTGTCTTTAGTGTTGTGTTAGTGTTATAATATTAGTCACCTTCATCTGGGCTAGCTGTTGCTGTTGCTGCTGCTGCTGTAGTCGGCGGAGCGCCTCCTGCTGCTGCTGCCTCTGTCTGGCTAGCTCCTGCTGCCTCACCGCCTCCTGCTCCCTCCTCTTCGCCTCCTCCTGCTGTTGCCGTGCCAATGCCACCGCGGCCTCCTCCTCCTCCAGCCGCTTCTCCTCCTCGCGCCTCCTCAGGGCCTCCAGCTCCTCCTGCTTCCGGCGCTCCTCCTCCTGGGGAGAAACAACGTGGTTGTTAGAATAGGGTCAACTTTAGTATTAACACTACGTAGCAACATGCCTTTTAGCATTCCTCACAGCAGCTCTGGGCCCGTATTCACAAAGCATCTGAGAGTAGGAGTACTCATCTAGGATCAGGTCACCCCTGTCCATATAATCTTAAAGCAAAAAAAAAATCCCATGACTGAAACTTAAGTCGATCTCTCCTTTCATGTAAAAATGTCATGACCATCATGCTTTTAGGGAAAGAGGATAATTTTGTAGATGCATTAAACTGCGAATCTAGCCAATTCCAGTCCCCTTTCTTAGGGAGTCCTGGTTCCTCCCCTGGGATAATTTTTATGTAGAAGGACTGAGAAGCTCAGTTCTGGTGACTTTTTAAAATGTACATTCTACTCCAAAATGAATCAACATAAAATGATGCTGACACACACTAAAATGTAATTTCAACCTCCAGAAATGAGCCCAATAACATATTGGTAAAATTATGTAACAATTATTTTAACATACCCATTTCAAGAAGCTAGGCGTACTGTATGTCACAGGTCACTACTTCACAGGAAAGGCATTTTAACTTTATTTATTTGTCTAAATGCATTTTTGGGCAGAAATGTCTTCAGTAACGTGAACTTTCATGTGCCTTAATAACAAACGTGTATGGCATCTGTAAATACGAATACAATTGTTAAATTACGAGCCTAGTTGGTTTAGCCACGGAAAAAGACAGGAACCTTCCCGCTAGCCATGATTGGCTGAGAAGATGGATGGGCTGGACAAGCCGAGAGATGAGTTCTGATTGGTCGGTCATGTAGCATGCTTCTGTCTATAACATGAGCTGCTCAGTCTGTATAGATAATCCTTGCTACCGCAGCTTTTTTGAAAGATATGTTAGCCATGGAGAACTGCAAAAGTGTTGCTACTGCTCTCAACATTGCGTTATCAACAAAGATCAATTGGGAAAAAGTTGTGATGGACTACTTTCTGCACACGGTCATTGTGAACCAGAGTGGCTTGACACAATGGGCCAAACAAGCTGTAGCTAGCTACAAACCAAATGAAAAAGACACGCTTCTGTGAAGCATTCATCCATGCATATGGGTAAGAGTCTAGCTACATTTTCAGATATTATACGTTTCTAATTTTGTCAGAAAGTTGTTTTCATTGTAAGTTAAAACGTAGTTAGCTAGCTAGATAGCGAACATTAGCTTCCTGGCTCGCTAGCTAACGTTACATGTATGCTCTGTGTAGTAATATTATTCGTATCTCAGAAAGCCATTTGCATTGCTAGTTATAGCCTAATGTTAAGCCCAGTACCTGTTTACGGAGGAACTCTTCCCTTTGCTTCCGCTCTTCCTCCTCCTCCCGCCTTCTTTCCTCCAGTCTGCGGAGGGCCTCCTCCTGTGCCTGCCGCTCCTCTTCCTCCATCTGTCTGCGCTGTGCCTCCTCCTGCTCCCGCTGCCTCCTCAACTCCTCCTCCTGTGGATAGTAAAATCAATCAATCAAATGAATTGCATTAAACAGAAATCAAGGCCTCTTCCTAGGAATAGACTGGCTACTGGGTCAAACTTGCAACTCTCTAGGCAAACATGTATTGAAAATCAACAAAGACTAGGTGAGGTGCAGCTGAAATTCATAACATTTCATACCAACTTCTCTAAAGAGTGGTATTATGACCGTCTTATTTCAGCAGGCAACAGTCTGATGACCACCCCCTCTAACCTGTTTATGACGTGCTAGCTCGTCCTCCACGCGTTTGCGTTCCTCCTCCTGTCGGGCCCGTAACGCTTCCTCCAGTCTTTTCCTCTCCTCCTCCTCCTCCTCCTCCTCCCTCTTGGCTCTCAGCTCCGCCTCACGCCGCTCCAGCTCCAGTTGATGAGGAGGAGAGACCTTTAAAAAGCAAATCACATTGTTTTATTTTTAATACTTGTTCTAAAAAGATAGACTCAGCGATATCGGACCGATTTCCGCAACAACTAAGAGCATTGAAGCGCGAGGCCAAACTTCACCGCTGTTTTGGTCCGGTAGTTACCACGTTGTAGCAGCGTGAAGCACACCCGTGCACATACGCAGATATTCTGTGTGACAGTGTGAGAGCAAAGTCTTGCATCGCTCTCATCTCAATAGATGCAGTGCTGAATCTAGTCTAGCTTTAAAATGTCCCAATTCCCCACATTGAGCCCTACATCTACATCATCTAGGACTAAGGATTGCATAAGTATAGACAATATGGGGCTCTTACCTTAGCAGCCTTGTTCTTCTCCAGCTGTTGCATCTGTTCTATGGTGGGGGCCTGGGCCATGGAGTCTATGGGCAGATCCCACACACTGCTGCCCTCCCACGCTGCAAAGGACACACAAAACAGACAGTCAGTCAGGCCGGATGGTCATTATAGATCATACGATTTTGAGGCTTCTCTTATTTTTGTAAATTGAAGAACGTCCTGTTTAGAGGTTCAGATACTCAAACTATCAAAAGCTCTATTTGCTATAAAACTTCAGCCAAAACAAATTCTGTGCAAGTATTTGTGTTCTGGGTTGAGACGTACCACTGGGGGCAGGTTGCTGGATGTTTGGTGTGCAAGAGGCCTGAGAGGAGGGGTTCTGCATTTCCCACACAGAACCCTGGGAGTCTGGTACAGACATGGACCGCGTCACAGGAGGTAAGAGACTCTCAGATGTTCTACACAGGGAGACAAACACAGAAACAAATTACATTAACAACATAGACATGATCGAAATTGCATTATCTGTATGTGTGACGTCATCTTGAGGGCTTGGTATTGCTGTGTGTGTGAGGGTTCTCCAGGGTGAAGTTTCCCCTAAGTACAGATCTAGGATCAGTTTCCTCTCCCCCAATCCTAAACTTAACCATTAGTGGGGAAAATGCTCAACTGACCCAAGATCAGTGTCTAGGGAAAACGTCACCCTACTGTGTTAATGTGTGCCTGACATATTCTCGGACACCGGTATTACTGTCGGTGTGTGTGCTTACGTACAGTATGTTCCACTGACCTCATCTTGAGGGTCTTGCAGTAGAGGTGTGTGTGCGTGGGTACACTTACGTGTGTTCCGCTGACCTCATCTTGAGGGCCTGGTATTGCTGGAGGAGCAGGTTTATCTGCTGTTGCTGTTGCTGCTGCTGCTGGTGTGGTGCTGAGTTTAGTGCCTGGGCTTTCTGCTGGGCCAGGGCCTGGGCGTACTGCTGCCTCAACAGGTACTGGTACTGCAGTTGCTGCAGCTGGTACAGGTTGAGGGCCGTCAGCTCCTGCTGCAGTTTCAGACGCTCCTGGTCCCCAGCGTCACCCTGTGAACACAGACAGCAAGTTAGACATGGGATAGGCAAACGGAAGCCCACCTTGGATGCGTTCAACATGCACAACGTTGTGGAACGCAATAAATTATGTACAGCTAACATGCCTCTCTGACTTGCAGAATAAATAATGGCAACATTCACAACATTTTCCTTCTGAACGTGCCAGCGGCCAACACAAACTTGCTCTGTCTTGACAATGAGAAATTAAGGTGGTCCAGGGAGTGTCTGAATAATTTTGAATTGCCCATATCAAGATTATTTGACAATATCTAAAAGTAGTGATGGTCACCAGTAAGGGTGGCGGTGCTGGTCCGGAGGCGAAGGGGACCCTGCCCCACATTTTGATGATCTCCCCCAGGGGTTGGAAGACCTCGTCACAGCCTCTCTTCACCAGCAGGGTCATGGTGAAGTAGCCTGCCTGGAACCATTCCGTCATCTCCGGGTTACTGAATGGACCTGGAGAGGGGGAGATGATTAGATTTGACAATGACACTTTTACATTTATCCATTTAAAAACTATTTTTAGAAATGAAAGTGGTTCTGAGTCTGACTATTTGAAAGGATATTCTACTCCGGGGCTGTACAACCACTTCTAATCAAAGATTAATAATTGACTTTAGACCAGGAAATACAGGTGTATGCACTCTGAGCAGTCCGTGCCATTGATAATAGATAAAGAAGCCAGTCTCTCTCTAGCAGTGGTGACTAGTTGAAATGATACTGGTTGCAGAGTATGCAGATTTTCATTCAAAGAAGCCTCCCCCCTCCCCTCACTCTCTCCCTCTGTCTTACCCTGCATCTCTCCCTGGGGGTCTTTATAAAACCACTTCAGAGCAGCCTCGTGTGTGAGCGGCAGGCCAGCTGGTTTGTGTACTGAGCTCTTGGCAGCCAGCCGGTCGTCACTGTCCTGTAGATACGCCACCATCTTCTCTGCCTCCTTCACAAGGAGAGAGGGAAAACAGGAAGAGTGAGAAAGACATGGGGGTGAATGTAGACACCTTTATTGTACAATCCATTCGGAAAGTATTCAGACCCCTTGACTTTTTCCACATTGTTACGTTACAGCCTTATTCTAAAATTGATTAAATTGCTTTTTCCCCTTCATCAATCTACAAACAATACCCCATAATGACAAAGCATAAACTTTTTTATTTATTTATATCAAAAACGGAAATACCTTATTTACATAAGTATTCAGACCCCTTGCTATGAGACTCAAAATTGAGCTCAGGTGCATCCTGTTTCCATTGATCAGCCTTGAGATGTTTCTACAACTTGATTGGAGTCCACCTGTGGTAAATTCAATTGATTGAACATGATATGGAAAGGCACAAACCTGTCTATATAAGGTCCCACAGTTGACAGTGCATGTCAGAGCAACAACCAAGCCATGAGGTTGAAGGAATGGTCCGTCGAGCTCCAAGACAGGATTGTGTCGAGGCACAGATCTGGGGAAGGGTACGAAAACATTTCTGCAGCATTGAAGGTCCCCAAGAACACAGTGGCCTCCATCTCTGCAGCACTCCACCAATCAGGCATTTATGGTAGTGGCCAGACGGAAGCCACTCCTCAGTAAAATGCACATGACAGCCCGTCTGGAGGAAACCTCGCACAGGTTTTGGCCAGGTGCCTGGTTTCCTTCAGATGTGACGCTTGGCATTCAGGCCAAAGAGTTCAATCTTGGTTTCATCAGTCCAGAGAATCTTGTTTCTCATGGTCAGAGTCCTTTAGGTGCCTTTTGACAAACTCCAAGCGGGCTGTCATGTGCCTTTTACCGAGGAGTGGCTTCCGTCTGGCCACTCTACCATAAAGGCCTGATTGGTGGAGTGCTGCAGAGATGGTTGTCCTTCTGGAAGGTTCTCCCATCTCCACAGAAGAACTCTGGAGCTCTGTCAGAGTGACCATCGGGTTCTTGGTCACCTCCCTGACCAAGGCCCTTCTCCCCCGATTGCTCAGTTTGGCCGACGGCCAGCTCTAGGAAGAGTCTTGGTGGTTCCAAACTTCCTCCATTTAAGAATGATAGGGGCCACTGCGTTCTTGGGGACCTTCAATGCTGCAGAAATGTTTTGGTACCCTTCCCCAGATCTGTGCCTCGACACAATCCTGTCGTCTCAGGGCTCTACGGACAATTCCTTCCACCTCATGGCTTGGTTTTTGCTCTGACATGCACTGTCAACCGTGGGACCTTATATAGACACGTGTGTGCCTTTCCAAATCATGTCCAATCAATTGAATTTACCACAGGTGGACTCCAATCAAGTTGTAGAAACATCAAGGATGATCAACGGAAACAGGATGCACCAGAGCTCAATTTCGAGTCTCATAGCAAAGGGTCTGAATACTTATGTAAATATGGTTTCTGTTTTTTATTTGTAATACATTTGCAAAAATGTCTAAAAACCTGTTGTTTTCACTTTGTCATTATGGGGTAGCGTGTGTAGATTGATGAGAGAAAAAATAATTTAATCAATTTTACAATAAGGCTGTAACGTAACAAAATGTGGAAAAAGTGAAGGGGTCTAAATACTTTCCGAATGCACTGTAAATATGGTATTGGAACTGACTTAGTTTTCTTCTATTTCTTATTTCTCATGGGTTTTTTTCTAGCATTGCATTGTTGGGTTTTTGTGCATGTGACATTAAAACTTTAAAGTTTATGCGAAGGAGGTGTCATGCTGCATGAGGCAAATGGTGGTCACACCAGATACTGACTGGTTTTCTGATCTACACCTCTACCTTTTTTAAGCTATCTGTGACCAACAGATGCATATCTGTATTCGCAGTCATGTGAAATCCATAGATTAGGGCCTCATTTATTTATTTATTTAAACTGACAGATTTCCTTATATGAACTGTAACTTGGTAAAATCTTTGAAATAAAGACAAAAAGCATTTGGTTGGTAAATGTAATGTTTACATCCTCCTGGAGAGCTACTGGGTGTGCAGGCTTTTGTTTGTTCCCCGCTCTAACACACCACATTGTAAAAAAAAAATCACCTGCTCAACATGACCTTGATAAGCTGACTCTGGTGTTTGAGCAGGGCTGGATCCAAAGCCTGTACACCCAGTAGCTCTCCAGATGGGTTCACCAAATGTTTAATACAGTAGCCTAACAGTGCAGTTACTTTACTTTGTGTGGGGGGGGGGGTAAAGCTCCTTGCTTAAGGGCACAACAGCAGGAGATTGTACATGGGATCAGAGACCAGCCGTGGTTTCCTTGCATCGTACAAAACTATTTTCAGTCACCTTTTTGGCCCATGGTGTTACAGACCCTTTGTGGGCTGTAACAGTGGCTAAAGAAGTGGCTAAAGAAGTTTGTCAAGTCCTGTAGAGCGTCATGAATGTATACATATCACAAAACAAACACCACTATCTCAGCTTATCCCAGAGAGATACAGAATGGCAATAAGGCGTTTGATTTCATTACAATTCAATTAACATCCTCTCCATATTCTTGACGTGTTTCAGAAGTAAACCCACACTGCACTTTCATGTCCAGAGATGGTCCAAATTCATTTTCACCAAAACCAGCTTGGTAACTTTCCCTACCCTGCTCAACATGCAGCTCTGCAACCAACTAACTTCTACCAGAAACCGTCATAAGCTAGGTTTCCATGAACTTGTCAGTGATTTTTTTTGTTGACATTTAGAAAGTTCGGATAGAAAGTAGATGTGACAATTGCCTGCCAAAGTGAGTTTCCATTGATCTGTCATGTCGATCAAAACAGCTGGACGTAATGAAGTCACAACTAAAAAAATATATATATATGCTAAAAAATTGAATTTCGAATAAAAATGAAGTGGTAAAGTGTTTCCATTATCCATATAGACTAATTGTTTATTAATAAAGTGGCGACAGCCTATATGTCCTGCCCACTCATCTGTTTCATGTCTCAAGTAGCCTGCAAAAGCCAGCAAGGGTTGAATGCAAGAATTGACTCATATTTGCCATACTGTATTCTAATAATTATCACGTGCCTTATTATGGCCACAGTCCGTGCCATAGTGTAACTTGCACTCATAGTAGAGATCTCAAACTATTTGATGATGAAACTTCAAATTGCAATGTAAAGCGATTCAGGCATTCTTGAAAGTCAAGACAATCCTTGTCTTACAAATAAACATTTTTATAGTTTAATGAATGGATTTTGCAAGCAATAGGCTTTTATAATTAAATGAAGAGTGGAGCTTTATAGTTACGTGATAACATCACGTGCCCCGCTTACTTTCAGAATTATTCGCAATCATAATTTATTTGAATTTCCATCATTTGTCGCAATAAACTTAGACAAAAGAAAAATCCGCCCATCTAATGGATAAAAATGTATTTGATCTTTCGAAAATGTCTCCTACGTCTGCCATGTCCATTACAAATGTCACAATGATTTTTCTTGCGACACTGCTTTTGTTGAATAAACCTGGGTCAATGGAAACCTGCCTACTGTCTTCTTACCTGTTCAAAGTGCTTCAGTCTCTCATCTTCATCCATGGTGTGGTGTGGCGGCATGACCGTGGGCCTTCCAATGGGCGTACTGGGGGCCATAATGTTGGGGGCCATGATAGATGTGCTCTGGGCCATGAGGCTGGCGCTGAAGGGCAGCGTGGCCGGCATAGCCACGGGCACGTCCAGGGGCTTCTGCTGCATCTGGATGGTGGACGACGGGGCCGACACTGGAGACACTGGACAGGACAGAGGGCGTGGGGTTAGTCTGTCACAGATGGAGGTGGAACTTCTAGATTCTATGTGCAGGTGACAATCTCAAACTACATGCAATCCTGAGTTTGTATAATTGAAGCACAAGGTTACAGGGGGAAATACCATTGTCATTTACTTTACAATATGTCATCAAACAGCCTTAAGAAGAAACAAATGTGGCAGATTTGACTGTACTCATCCCCTGCTTTTGTGTAAGCTTACCTGTGAGAGTGTGTGCTGCAGTGTGGGGGATGGGGAGGGACTCCAGCATTGTGTTGGACATGGGCATCGACATGGGGACGTGCAGGGGGACTTTGTTGGCCTCTGGCCTGTGTTCGGGGGCTGGGGGCCGCTCAAGTGGCCTCTCAGGCTCCTCTGCTCTGTCGGGCTGGCTGGGGGGCAGCCGAGGGGCGGGTGGCTGGGGCTCTGGAGTCGAGGGAGCAGGCGGCGCCTCCTCTACCCCTCTCCCCACATCTGGGAAAAAACCAAGACAAGATACATTAATTTATGTTAATCTCCACATACATACTATTGGGAGCAAAAATACAGTATGCCGGACATAGTTTCAACCCCTCTTAACTCACCCTGTTTTCTGTCGGGCTCTCTCCTTGCCTCTCCGTCTGAGTCTTTGGTCTCCCGGGGCTGTCTGTCCTCCTCCAGGCCCTCATCACACTCCTCCAGGGGTCTGAAGTCCAGCTCTGCCTCCTCCAGGATGGGCTCCTTGGGAGCTTTCTGTGGATGAGAAATATATACACGAATTGTCATGAAAGTCTCCATATCTCCTTCTCATAGCAGCCTTGCATTCACATAGTTCCATGTCACAGTGCTCCGATGCCATACCTCTTGTAATAGCTGCAAACAAATTGCCCATTGGGGAAAACCAATAATCATTGCATATCTACTCGATAGACCTCGATAATGTGTGCAGGTCCTACTTCATTTCTTCAACCTTTATTTGGCCCAGCACCCATTAAAGGGATACTTTGGGATTTTGGCAATGAGGCACTTTATCTACTTCCCAGGAGTCAGATTAACTCATGGATACCATTTATTATGTCTGCGTGTGGTTTGAAGGAAGTTGCTAATTAGCGTTAGCGCGATGACTGGAAGTATATGGTTATCTGCTAGCAGATACCCAAAGACGTCAAGTCATTGTGCAGATACCAAAAGACTTCAAGTCATTGTGCAGATACCCAAAGACTTCAAGTCATTGTGCTAACGCTAGTTAGCATTGGCTCGCAAAACTACCTCTAACTTTCTTCATACTGGACACAGAAACATAAAAATGGTATCCAAAAGTTCATCTGATGCTGTGGAAGTAGATAAAGGGCCTCATTGCCAAAATCCCGAAGTATCCCTTTAACAAGTGATGTTCGTTTGACTATATGGATTTTACACTCACTCGGACCTTGAGCGAGAGGAAGGCTCCGGAGGAATCGAAGGTGCCCGTCTCCTCCTCAGCGTCCTCCAGGCACCACTCTGGCAGGCTACCACCATCCTCCTCCAGGCTGCCGCTGCCCGACCTGGGACGCCTGTAGCCACGCTCGTCCTCTCTGGCGTCGAACGGGAACCGGCGCTGCCGTGGCTGCTCCCCCGGGTGCGCCTCTCGCCGCCCTGCCGACCGCGGCCCGTCTGAGGAGAGGAGCGGTTTAGAGACCCTGTCACTCAGCTTTACCCCAGCCATTCTCTCACATTGAAGTCCACCACTTTAGATGTGATGCCTTTTTTTGTGATGTTATCGTGTGTCCGAATGGATTCCAGTACTCCCTGTTGAAAACCTACTCTCATTTAGGTGGCCTAACCAAGAGACATATATTGACAAGCTAGATTACAGGACTGTAGTATGATTTGGGGTGTCCATTGTGATTTAAGAGTTCAGGATAAGACTGCCTTTTTAAAATCAACCTGTAGCGAGTTAGGCCTGCAATTAAAACCACCACCCGCACACCCATCCAAAGGACAATGTGGTGGCAGCAGTGTAGGATCACTACAGGGCGCACCTGGACTCGGGGGGCACCACCGGTCGCTGTCCCGTCGTGGGGCACCCGCCAGGCGCCAGCCCCCCTCGTCACCGTCCTCACCATTCACTTCGTCGCGGGACGTGCGCCAGTTCTCACTCTCCGATCGTGTAAAATCGTGCTTCCTCACAGGCAGGCCCCCCATGCCGGTCCCAACCTCCTCGTAGTTAGCACGGACTGGAGAGGAGGGGAAACAATTGAATAACTTTATTTTATCAAAAGGGGAACATCAAGTTCAACATTATTTTTGTACATACATATGTAGCACTACATGAGAAATACATCATATTTTAGCCTGATACTGTCCTTGATTTCAATAAATAAGTGGTGAGATGTCTAAACATTTGCAGAGCTGTATTGTTGCCTGATTAAGTAGTGTACAGCGTTACAGTTAGGCCCTTGTGAAGTACACTTTTACACTCAGTTTTAGCATAGAAAATATATATTCTTTGGAGAAACAGCATCTAGTTCCCCTTGACAAGAAAGGGACGTGTATAAGTGCAAGGGCGTGGAGGGCAAACTTACTATGATTCATCGGGAAGTGGGCAGGAGCAACGTCTGCCAAGTCAATGGAACAGAGGAGCGACAGAGAAAAATAAATGATTACATTACCTGCAAATGCTGTAACTGGCATTTAAGTACATTACATTCTAACTGCATTGACTATTTGATTAGAAAGTATTGACACAAACCTGACTCTTTTCGACCTGGCTTTTCAAACCTTCTGTCTCCCCTAGATGGGGAGAAAATAGACTCAGCATGACTTGGAAAAAAGACAAAAAGGATGACGCAGTTAAAAACAGACAGATATAAATCAACATGACAATATGTAAACCTCATAAAACAAATGGGTTTAGACCAGGCCTCTTCAACCCTGTTCCTTGAGAGCTACCCTCCTGTTGTACAGTGGGGGAAAAAAGTATTTAGTCAGCCACCAATTGTGCAAGTTCTCCCACTTAAAAAGATGAGAGAGGCCTGTAATTTTCATCATAGGTACACGTCAACTATGACAGACAAATTGAGAAGAAAAAAAATCCAGAAAATCACATTGTAGGATTTTTTATGAATTTATTTGCAAATTAGTATTTGGTCACCTACAAACAAGCAAGATTTCTGGCTCTCACAGACCTGTAACTTCTTCTTTAAGAGGCTCCTCTGTCCTCCACTCATTACCTGTATTAATGGCACCTGTTTGAACTTGTTATCAGTATAAAAGACACCTGTCCACAACCTCAGACAGTCACACTCCAAACTCCACTATGGCCAAGACCAAAGAGCTGTCAAAAGACACCAGAAACAAAATTGTAGACCTGCACCAGGCTGGGAAGACTGAATCTGCAATAGGTAAGCAGCTTGGTTTGAAGAAATCAACTGTGGGAGCAATTATTAGGAAATGGAAGACATACAAGACCACTGATAATCTCCCTCGATCTGGGGCTCCACGCAAGATCTCACCCCGTGGGGTCAAAATGATCACAAGAACAGTGAGCAAAAATCCCAGAACCACACGGGGGGACCTAGTGAATGACCTGCAGAGAGCTGGGACCAAAGTAACAAAGCCTACCATCAGTAACACACTACGCCGCCAGGGACTCAAATCCTGCAGTGCCCTGCTTAAGCCAGTACATGTCCAGGCCCGTCTGAAGTTTGCTAGAGTGCATTTGGATGATCCAGAAGAGGATTGGGAGAATGTCATATGGTCAGATGAAACCAAAATATAACTTTTTGGTAAAAACTCAACTCGTCGTGTTTGGAGGACAAAGAAGGCTGAGTTGCATCCAAAGAACACCATACCTACTGTGAAGCATGGGGGTGGAAACATCATGCTTTGGGGCTATTTTTCTGCAAAGGGACAACGACGACTTATCCGTGTAAAGGAAAGAATGAATGGGGCCATGTATCGTGAGATTTTGAGTGAAAACCTCCTTCCATCAGCAAGGGCATTGAAGATGAAACGTGGCTGGGTCTTTCAGCATGACAATGATCCCAAACACACCGCCCGGGCAACAAAGGAGTGGCTTCGTAATAAGCATTTCAAGGTCCTGGAGTGGCCTAGCCAGTCTCCAGATCTCAACCCCATAGAAAATCTTTGGAGGGAGTTGAAAGTCCGTGTTGCCCAGCGACAGCCCCAAAACATCACTGCTCTAGAGGAGATCTGCATGGAGGAATGGGCCAAAATACCAGCAACAGTGTGTGAAAACCTTGTGAAGACTTACAGAAAACGTTTGACCTGTGTCATTGCCAACAAAGGGTATATAAAAGTATTGAGAAACTTTTGTTATTGACCAAATACTTATTTTCCACCATAATTTGCAAATAAATTCATTAAAAATCCTACAATGTGATTTTCTGGGAAAAAAAATCTCATTTTGTCTGTCATAGTTGACGTGTACCTTTGATGAAAATGACAGGCCTCTCATCTTTTTAAGTGGGAGAACTTGCACAATTGGTGGCTGACTAAATACAATTTTTCCCCACTGTAACTAACCTGATTCAGTGTATCAACCAGCTAACTATTAGAATCAAGTGGGCTAGATGAGGGTTGGAGTGAAAGCCTACAGGACGGTAGATCTCCTGGAACAGGGTTGGAAAGCCGTGGTCTAGACCATTCTCATTCCACTAGCTTGGAACCCAGCTTAAGATGCGCCCACTCAACATTTGCATAAATAATACATTGAAGTCAAAGTGTATGTGTGTGAAAATTCCAGTTACACGCTCGTGTCTCCAGTGAGGGTAGTCCATTACCTCTCCTCCCAGCTCTGGGAGCGGTGCATCTCCCTGCCTCCGCGGCCAAAGCCTCCCTCCACGTCATCAAAACTTCTTTGGTAAAACCCTCCGTCTCCTCTACCCCGTCCTGCCAGATACACATTTTAAATACTTTATTTGAATCCACAAATCACATTACACTCGAGAAGGATTCAAACACACACACACTACACTTTAATGTTGGCGCTAGCTGGTGATGATTAATTCAGCCAGCTGTGATAGCTTCTACTGACAGAGGCATAATCAAGCATAGAAACAAAGTGCTACTGTTAATTCCCTTCTGTGCAGTTGGCACAAGATTGTTAACATTCTTAGGGGTGGGTCTCAATAATCAATATAATCTAAAGTGGGTTCCTCTCCTCTCCTTAAAATCAGCACTGACTGAAATAGCTTAACAGTTGAAAGCAACTTTAAGTATGCTTTGCCTCCTCCATACCACTGTTTTCAGATGATGAGACAAGCAGAGTAAGTCACGTTAGACTATTGGGATGCACACATTGACACAATAAGGCGCTCCACCTCACCTCTGCCCCGTGAAGTACTTCGACCCCTCGGTGCCCCTGGCCCCACTGGACCCACTCCTCTTCCCATCAGCCTGAGCACCGCTGCACTGTTTACAGACATGGAGAAATTTCTCTGTGGGGGGAGATCGAGGGAAAAAGAGGGGGATGAAGAAAGAGAGAGAGGGAGGCTGACAGGACTTTAAAAAGACATGTCTATGACCAACAATTATACTTATTAGGTTAGAAACAAAATGGGTAAAAACACTGAGAAAGGTGTAGTTATAATTTTGCATATTCATTTTAGCATGGCCTCCTATAGGAACAGTGAAAGCACCAACCTGCTCTTCCTCTGTAAAAGCTACAAGTGCCAGTGGTGGCAGGGGCTCCTCTTGTAAAATTGGCAGAAAATCCTTATCATGTAGATCTACAGGGATCTGATAAGGATAAAGAAAAAAAAGAGTATGAGCCATTGCAATGTCAGGTTTTAATACACAAATTACAGGAAAAGGGCATTATATATTTGAATAGAAACAAATATTACTCCACAAAAGGATACATCTAAATTTCACACCATTTACAACCTGCTGATACAAGTCACTTTATTTACATGCCAATCATGTATTTCTGTATCCTTTTAGAACACATCAGAATGCATTTGCCTCACCTCCCTATCCTTTACATAAAGTGCTAGCATTTCTTCTCTCCCGTAGCGGTAGTCCGCAAGTTTATACTTTGGCAATGCAGGCGAGAGAGGTGGTGAGGTGGCAATGCTACTGCTGCTACCACCCCCATGGCCACCCCCAGACAGGGCCCGGAGCCTGGGGAAAACGCAGTGGGGGAATAGGGACAGAAGGAGAAAGACAAAAGTGAAGTTTAGAGGACAACTGGCAGGCCTCAAAATGTGAGGCACCAGGTATCAAAAGAAAAACCAGCTAACAACCCAGATCCCTGTTAATCAACCTAATACAACATTTCAGCGCAAGAAGAAATCATTAACATGAGGCTATACTAACCATTCTGGTCCGAAGTTGAGTGTCTGAGTTTCTGCCATTCTTCCTAGAACTTCTATGGGGAGGAAAGGGCCAAAATTATTAGCCTAATACAACAAACACCAAACTTTAGGTTGAATATTTTTTATTGGAAATGTTTTCAGTAATCGATCTGCTGATGCAACTGAAAATCATATATCAATTTCTTGTCGTCAAAGATTACAGACCCAAATAATGGTAAAAAAAATAATTAGATGGTGTAACAAATATTGCATCAGCCCATTAATTTCCTAAGCTATTAATGCTTTAGATGTAGGCCTATTGGATCTTGCAGTGAGTTGATGGTATTCCAGCTCATTCCTGAGGATAGCCCCATCCCTCCCTTACACAAGGGGTACAATTTCAATTGACTGAAGCTATTTTGGGAAGTTTCCCAGTTAGCAAAGAGGCTCCTCAGACACCTATAATTGACAACAGTGTCGCCCCTTCCCTGCACTGACAGGCTTTATTCTGGAAACACTACAATAAACTTGGATGTTTGCATGCAAATTCCCATAATAACAAACAAGTTATTGTGTGCTGTATGCAGGCTACCTAGTTTAAGTTCACAGACCAGTTAGATAATGACCCTAGGTCAGCCTAAAGGTTAGCTGACTAAACTCCATGGTAAAGGAAGTTTCTGATTAACTCCACCAATGGAGTGGAGCAGAGACCAGGCTTTGTGGAATTCAGCTCCGATTCGCTCAAAATCAACACTTCAAAATATGTTAACTATGAAATGCTTACCTTGTACCTACAGTTTGTTTGTCCTCTGTAGTTTGATGAAATCCATACTTTTTCAATAAACGTTAAAGGGATACTTCAGGATTTTGCCAATGAGGCCCTTTATCTACTTCCCCAGATTCAATGCTAGCAGATACCCATAGACCTCCAGTCATTCCTTTAACGCTAGTTAGCAACTTCCTTCAAACTGCACGCAGACATAAAAATGGTATCCGAGAGTTCATCTGACTCTGGGTAAGTAGATAAAGTGCCTCATTGCCAAAATCCCGAAGTATCCCTATAATAAAATGTTTATTGAAAAAGTATTAAATACAGCAAACAAAGGCACACATCTACAGGGGACAAACATAGGTACAAGGTAAGCTTTCATAATTTATTTGTTTTCTTTTTTATATTGACCTTGGTTCAGTCAATGTTGTCTGATCTGGTTTCCACAAAGCCTGGTCTCTGCGCCACTCCGTTGATGGAGTTAATCAGAAACTTCCTTCACTGTGGAGTTTAGTCAGCTACCTAAATGGATGTTCAAAATGCAATCGGTCTCGCCAGCTATCTATAGGATAAACAGGAAACATGCAGAGGGTGGACTTTTCGCCTGTTGCAAGCCACGTGTGGACTACAACCAATCAACATTCGAATTTGATGTATTATTTATTGTGACAAAAAAAAGATCAAGCTGCCAACTCTTGTAAAAAATAACGTTTATATCCTACACCAAAACACCCGTCACGAATGATGTATTAGATTACAACATACAGTATGTCACTGTCAGTACTGTAGCCTGTAACTTCAGGTTGTGACTTGGAACAAATTGCAGCTGAACAAATGGAACTGTAAGGAAAATATTCAAGTTTCAACCTACACATTTCAAGTAGCCAATACTATTGGACTTTTAGTTAAAATGGATAATGCCGACAATGTACTAGGCTTAGAATAAGCCTAACTATCAAGCTCAAATGAGTTTATATGCATGTCTATGTCTGATCAATTTTGTATAACGTTGTTATAAGACAAGGAATTTTCGCAAATTAGGTACCTGGCTAACAATAAACTTTACTAGTTACTTACATAAGTTGTATAACGCGCCGTCATATCTTTTCAAACACATGAGCTACAGTAGCTAGCTAACTTCCCACTTGGCTGACCATAATTAGCTTGCTAATCCGACTGACCCACGCACGTTCCCATACGTGAATTTAGCTAAATGCTAACTAGCAATACTGCTGTTAACTAGCTAATTAGCTAATGTTAATACACAGTGTAGCTAACCTGATAGTTAACATTTAAAGACCAACTACCAGTAACTAGTTAGCTAGCCAATGTGGCACCTGTGCTGCCAAGTTGGTTGGCAAACTAACGACAGCTAAACTAGCTTAATAAGGTAGTAACATACTAGCTAAGTAACGGCATGACAGCTAGTTAATCAAACAGTTTGCAGAATCATTGACGTTGTAGCTACTGTATTTAACCATCAATAATGATACCTGGTTCAAACATTATAAGACAGTTAGCTAACTGGTAGGTACAATAGCTAGCTATATCGATAAGGTTAGCGAGGTTAGTTTGCTAGGTAGCTAACTATTTAGCGTAACTACTGTTACCAGTTAGCAAACTTTGATTTACAAAGCTTTTAGCAACAATCGATCATTGATGCTCAGTAATTTCTACGAAAATGCTAAATGTATCTTAAGGAAAACAATCAAAAAGGCATACTGTCACAAAATCGCACAGAAGTAATGGGCTGACAAGTTAATCCTTAACCCCCAAACCTCCGTGCGGCCTACGAGCCTTCTGCCACAACGCTGAAATACCTCCCACCTCGCTCCGATCCAATGCGGTGCTCCCACATACTTTAGTCCCAAGCCTCAAGGCCAAGCAAACATGCTGGTACAACAACACTCATAAACGCGTTTAAATCGCTTAAACTGGGCTCTTTAGCATCGTGAATGCTTGTTTCGATAGTTTAGCTTTATTTTATAGCAAAACTGTGCATTTTGTCTTCGCTGTCTTACCTCTGCTTTTACTGACAGCACAGGGTTTGTATTCGAGTTGTGTGGCTCTCTCCGTTTCAACAAGATGGCTGAGAATGGGTGACGACAACACATATCCCGATAAAGACCCGTATGCGTTTGCCAATAAGTTTTGCTGACTGGCATATTTTATATAATCATCTGCATGATTTCTGTACGTGTAATGTTAGACTAGTATGGCATAAGAATACGTTATTTTGGCCTTATTCTGACCAAATGTTGTAGAAGAAGAAGAATTAGCTACCACCTTCACATCTGATTACATACATCATTGTAAACAGCATGCATGCATGCATACATACACAAATACATGCAGGTAACTGCCAGTACCAAAATAATATAAACAGTTGAATTAATGACGGAATACAAAGTGTATTGAAAGCAGGTGCTTCCACACAGGTGTGGTTCCTGAGTTAATTATGAAATTAACATCCCATCATGGTTAGGGTCATCATGTATAAAAATGCTGGGCAGGCCATTATTTTGGCTACAATGGCTATGCCCCCATTAATGGCCCCATCCACAGGGCACAAGTAGTCACTGAATTGTTTGATGAGCATGAAAATTATGTAAACCATATGCCATGGCCATCTCAGTCACCAGATCTCAACCCAACTGAACACTTATGGGAGATTGTAGAGCAGCGCCTGAGACAGCATTTTCCACCACCATCAACAAAACACCAAATAATAGAATTTCTCGTGGAAGAATGACTTCACATCCCTTCAATAGAATGTCAGACACTTGTTGAATCTATGCCCCTACGAAAAAAAAGATTGCAGTCAGAGTGCAGGAATACTGCAGTACAGTTAGAGTTGCTGCAAATACTGTGTCCAAAATAACACAAGTTGCTTTACTGCAGTTACAGTGCAGTGAAACTGCAGTTCAACTGCAGTACACTGCAGTTATTATGCAATCACTGCATCCAAAATACCACAGTCAACAGCAGTTACTGCACTTTTACTGCAGTTTCAAAACTGTGATCTTTGTAGGTGCCTTGAAGCTGTTCTGGCCCAACGCCCTGTTAAGACACTTAATGTTGTTGTTTCCTTTATTTTGGCAGTTAGCTGTACATAACGTTATCAACTACATTATGCATTACATTTACAGATGAAATACCTGTTTTGGTTTAACTTTACCCTATCTTGATCTTGTGAACCAAAACTTAAATGAAAAGTAAAATATTTATGATTGGTGATGGGCTACAATGCGAAAATGACAAAAATAGTATGGTTTTTCTTATGTTATGTAACATTATAGACCTAGCTATCAAAGATAGTGGTGCCACAGAGACATCTAGTGGTCAATATAAGAAACGAAAGTGAGTTGAGACCTAACTGCATGCGTAATTTGCATGCGCTGACGACACTTGAGATCAACTTTATTTTTTATACACCTCAATGAGACCAATACGAGGCCAGCGGTTATTATCGGACGGTAAGGAATCCAATAATTCAACACAAATATTAAGTTAATGTTGACAACATAGCTATATAACAACACATATACACTGCCAGTCAAAGGTTTGGACACACCTACTCATTCAAGGGTTTTTCTTTATTTTTACTATTCTTTACATTTTAGAATAATAGTGAAGACATCAAAACTATGAAATAACACATATGGAATCATGTTGTAACCAAAAACGTGTTAAACAAATCAAAATATATTTTATATTTCAGGGGGGGGGGGGGGGGGGGGGGGGGGGGGGTATACAGAAGATAGCTCTATTTGGTAAAAGACCAAGTCCATATTATGGCAAGAACAGCTCAAATAAGCAAAGAGAAACGACAGTCCATCATTACTTTAAGACATGAAGGTCAGTCAATCTGGAACATTTCAAGAACTTTTAATGTTACTTCAAGTGCAGTCTCAAAAACCATCAAGCGCTATGATGAAACTGGCTCTCATGAGGACCGCCACAGGAAAGGAAGACCCAGAGTTACCTCAGCTGCAGAGGATAAGTTCATTAGAGTTACCAGGCTCAGAAATTGCAGCCCAAATAAATGCTTCACAGAGTTCAAGTAACAGACACATCTCAACATCAACTGTTCAGAGGGGACTGTGTGAATCAGGCCGTCATGGTCGATTACCTGCAAAGAAACCACTACTAAAGGACACCAATAAAAAGAAGAGACCTGCTTGGGTCTGGAGTCCAAATTGTAGATTTTTGGTTCAAATCGCTGTGTCTTTGTGAGACGCGGTGTGGGTGAACAAATGATCTTCTCATGTGTAGTTCCCAGCGTAAAGCATTGAGGAGGAGGAGGA